TTTGCTGCTACTCCACCATGCATTTCCTCTCTCCCTCTTCCTACATCTTTTGATAACCTTGGATACTTCTTCAATATCCTTGTTATTCCTTGAGAGGATAGTAACTTTCTTCAATAACCAAGGCACTCCTTGAGAAGTTGTGCACTTTCTTTCAATAGACATCAAGTTCCTCCAAGACTTCGCTGTATTAGAATTTAGAAGACTAGCATTCCCCACAAACCATACGGTGAACTTGAAACTGTCCGTTGAAGAAGGATGTTTAATTTCAACTCACTTGCTGGTCACATAAATTTTCTTCCTGTTTTGGAAATTTTCACAATTTTCCGTAATGCTTTTTAATCTTACAAGTTTATTAATTCACCCCTTGTTGATAAGGCATATGTCTCTATTTTATCTTGTTGCTCTTTCTTAAACTGTAAAAAGATATTTGATCAGGACATGTTCATGCGCATGTGGTGTGATCCTCAAAAGGGTGCACCGGTCTAGTCTAGAAACGACTTCACCAAGTGATGAAGTGTTGTTCCTTAGACTTAGCCATGTTTCCACACTTCGCCAGGTTTATCATGCTCTGGTCTTTCTTTCAGACAAAAATCATACTCTGGTCTTGGCTTGTATCATCCCTTCAGTTTTCGTTCGGTACTCAGCCAGTGAGCTGGGTTTTGCACATAACTGAGTTTGCTTCTCTCACTTCACCATGTTTTCTTCATCAATCGACTATTATGTATGCCCAGCTTTACATAGACTTTCCTGCGACCATCTTTCTCATGGTTCCTGACTTGTCCGATTTAGTGCTTAACATTTCTTGCTAGTACTTTGTAGTCAGATTTGTGGACTCTCAAGATCAATATGGTTCTTAAAACATATCTCAAATAAAAAAATTACTGTATGTTTGATTTTTGGGGATCTACAATACTATTATGGTGGAGTAGCAGCAAAGATCAAATTGTGAAGGAGGCAGCGTCATTCATATAGTGGACGTGATCATCCAGATACAAGTGGAAGTAAAAGTGTGGAAGCGCATTCAAGTATTTTCTCCTATGGTAAATCAAGAGGACATAACACAAAGTAGTAAAGACAGACCTCTGTACGATAAGCTCCAACACCCAAATTCAACTTGACTGGGCTAGGATCATTGTTGTAAGCGACTGTGACCTAACATCAAACAAAAATCAACAGAAAAAATTAGAAGCTCCCAAATTGATCAAGCAATCATTGAAATGCCGGTAACAAAACAGAGAAGCCAAGGCTCATATGATCAACACGAAATCAACCGCACCCTAATAGAAGTATAGAACCCGACTTAAAATACAACTAAACAGACTAAAGCATCGGTTACAACTCCCGATTTTTTGCTCCTTTTCAAAGAAAGCATCTTTTCAAGTGTTATTCGAATAAAATTACAAAGATAATCCATAGATCACAAAAATCAACTTTTCAAGTGTTATTTGAATAAAATTAGAACAATCATCCACATATCATAAAAAAGAAGCACAAGAGAAAAGACAATAAAATTAGAACAATCATCTGCATCAAATCCAGGATGTTTTTTTTTTTTTGCAAATCTAATCCATGACTTTTTAAAAATGCAAATTTGTATGGGAAAAATGCGTACCCCAAGGATTGAATCTTCAGGAGCACGAACAACATGCGCAAAGACAGAATCAGAGGGAGCTGACATTTTGCCGAGTTAATTTTCCAGTATCTTCTGGTGACCGATGAGAGAATAATTTAAAACTTATACCGGAAAACAAGCAATACAAAGAGTGGCGTATATAAAGAACATTACACCGTAATTCCTAAACTAAAAAACCATTTGTAACATAAGTATACAAAAAAGTGTACTCGACTCTTCTTTTAAGTATATACTTGTTAGATTAGCAAGCCAATTAATACGCCAGATTTGACTAACAGAATGTTAACAGGTGGACTTAGGGGAGGTTGACGCCAACCCCTAGGTCAACGCCGGCCCCCCGTGGAGAACATGTACACATAAATAAAATTTGTGTGGATCAAGAGAAAGTCACCAAGAGGTTGTGGGCTGGCGTCAACCTTCAAGAAGTCGATCTATTAGCATTCTTTTAACCAAATCAGTCGTACTAATGTGTTGATGTAACGGGTGTACTTAATTAACATTAAAATCCGAGTTTATGTACTTAAAAATGTCAAATGCAATATAATGTATTTATTACTTCATCTCATATAAGTTGATGTACTCAAGTGACCTTTAAGGTATGAAATGAAATATAATAATTCTGGAGTTAATGTCAAATGCAATATAATGATTCCATGTTGCATCTACCGGTAATGGTATGGGATGAAATATCCAGAGTAAGTATTTAAACGGTTCTATAACTTTTTATACTGAACACCAATCGTAGCATTTGAAATGGGTATAAGACTGATTCTAGATTTTGAGTATCAAAAAATACTAGATCTAACTATTCAAAAATAATACATTTGAGCTTTTAACATTTTTCCAATTTCAATGAAACTCTTGTTGATGTGTGTTTATATACAGAAAAAATAATTAAAATACTCCGAACTTTTAATGGATGTGAGATAAACACCCCAAAGTTTCATATGTAATTTAAATACCCAAACTTTATAAAAAATTTATTTTAATGTCATGGTCATATATTATTTCTTTCAAAAATTTAAATTTTTGATGTTAATTGCATAATTTAAATAGTAAATTGAAAACGTTGCAATTGTATAGAGTAGGGGGTAATACTATTTATTTTACAATGAAAGTTTAGAATGTAACGACGAGACTAAAATACCATTTAGTCCAGTAAAATGGTTAACACGTAGGAGTAAAAATGTAATGACTGGACTAAAATACCCTTAATGAGATTCCAGATGTATTTACAATTAAAAACAGAGTAATAAGTTAAAACAAATCAAAACCCTAGCACATTCTGTCTTTGATCTATTGTTCACCAGTTGCTCAATGAGTCTTCAGCCGCCGTTCGCCACGTTTGCCGCCGCCATCTGCCAAGTTGCCGCCGCCGTCTGGAAAGTTGCCGCCACCGCCGTTCTGCAAGTCCGTCGTCGTCGCCGTCCAGAAGAACCACCGTCTCAAGCCTCCGGTTAGTTCGCCGGCCCTATGGAGCTGCCGCCGCCACATCAAAGGAGCCGTCGCCGCCCTTATTTTGATGTACCGCGATCTCCACCGTTGTGGTTGTCTCCTCCAATGGCTTATAAAAAACATAAGAAGACATGACATTAACAGATCTAAAATCATGGCATTTATAGATCTAAAATCATGGCATTCACAGATCTAAAATCATGGCACAGATCTAAAATCATGACACGAATATAAAAACATGGCATTCACAGATCTAGAAACATGGCATTCACAGATCTAAAAACTTGCCATTCCAGATAAAAAAAGATGGCGTTTTCGTGTGTTATGATGACACTTAGATAAAAAAATGTCATTCACAGATATAAATTTATGGCATTCACAAATCTATAAACATGGCATTCACAGATGTGAAAATATGGCATTCCATTATTGAAATATATTAATGGAAATTTTATCAAAATGGAGAAACGCAAAACAGAACTGAGGAGGAAGAAGATGAACGGAAAAGAAGTAGAAGAAGAAGATCGAAATTTACCGTTGCTCGTCGTCCATCGTTGGGTGGAGATGAGGAGAAAAATCCATCGTTCATATCCCTGAAATTCGCTGGAGACGGAGAGACTTGAGATCGACAAGGGAAATCGAGGTAGAGAGGAAAAAAATGAAAATCTAAGACTTTGGAATGAAAGACACGAGAGGGAGAGGAGAAAAGAGAGACGGTTCTTGTGGAGTGTGTTGTCTGTGATAAGAATTAAACGGGTGGGGTGTTGTTAGAGCTGTCAAACGGGCCAACCCGACCCAACCCGACCCGACCCGTGACGGGTTATGGTCTATGTGGGTTGGGTCGGGCCAACCCGTTTAATAACGAGCCAAAATTTCTAAAACCTTAACCCGACCCACCTAACTCGTGCGTTAAACGGGTTGACCCGCGGGCCAATACGTAAAAAAAAATATAACAAAAAAAATTAAAAATAATTACCCAGAAGTATATATTTATATTAGTAAGTAGTAACAAAGGAAATATAAGAAATCAAAATACTAAAAATTCAATACTTGTTAAGTTTAATTAAAAAAATATTAAATACTAGTTATACGAGAATTTGAAAACTATAAGAGGGTATGCGACAAAAATACTCATTGTATAAAAATAAAGATCTACATAACCTTTTGATTAATAATTTGTAAATAATGACTACTAATTGTTAAATATTGTATCGAACTTCACATAAAATATACGAAGTATGTTTCAACATTTTTTTTGAAAATTTATTATAGAAATAAATATTGTTTTGCCATGGTTGTAATTTTTATTTGTAATTATAATAATATTGGTAGTAAAAGGAAAATATTTAAGATAATAAAATTTAAAACTATATTTTTGTATATTGGCCCGCGGGCCAACCCGCAATCCGGTGGGCCAACCCACTTAAACCCACAATCCGCGTGGGTTGACCCGTGAAATCCGCGAACTAAATGAGTCAGAAATTTGCAACCCTAACCCACCGATAAATGGGTTTAAACGGGCCAGCCCGTGGGTTTCGGCCCATTTTGACGGCTCTAGGTGCTGTGAACGGCTGTCCGTGAAAACAAAGGAAGAAAGAGAAGAAATTAATGCATGGGGTAAAACAGCAATAAAAACTCCTAATACGGGAATAGGAAAAGTCTACTCCTATTTTTGCATTATTGCTATGTTTTGCTCTTATATGGAGCAATTCCTTTATTTTTTTTAAACGAGGTATGCGTGTGGTGTAATAATGTCCAAGGAGGTGGTGTAAAATAACATTGAAGTGGACATTACCAGAGTGACTCTTAAGTTGTCCATGATTAATTCTTAGCATTCTTATGAATTTACTAAGATGTACTACTACAACTCCTATTTATATTATGAGATAGTGAGAGTTTGGAAAATTGGAAGGGAGAAATGGTTGTAAACTCTTCACAACTTTTAATAGTAATACCAATGTTTTCTTCTATTCTTCACTTGCTCGAGTCTATTACTCTATTTATTATAACACTCCCGAGTCCCGTCCCAAATAAAGTTTAGTTTACTGATAAAACCAAGAATCTATGTGACTCGATGAGTAGAGCACAAAATGAAGAATAAAGCATGTGATCACCCACCGCGAGTTCAATTCAAAACTGAAAGGCGTTGCTCACATTTTCTTCTCAACTCAACCACCAAACAAAACCTGACACTAAATTCCTCGCCCTTATATTTGGAAATCAACTGTGCAATTGCCAAGCATCTCTGCAGTATAAAGTTCCTGAAGAATCTTGCTGTGATGCTTCCGAGGAGATACTGATGTTCGAAGAACACTTTGTAGTTTTAAGTAAGACTCTTCTTCTTCTTGATTAATGTCGTTTTCTCCACACTCCGTTCGTGTCACTCCTGCTTGAGTTTTCTTATGAGTACTTGAATTCACCACATCTTTTTCCTCACGGCTACGAACATCAGATTCTGGCGAATACTCGTTAGTTAAATCGGCCAGTTATGTGGGAAACATTTTTTTAAGAATAAAAAATGAAACAAATCTATTAACAAGTCCAGATGAAAATGAATACATATAAAAATAACGTATCATTTTTAAAACCAATACCTCTGGATAGAATATGAGAATGTTTTCTTGCTTCAAGTGCGCTAGTTCGTGTAACACATAACCAGGTTCTTTCCTCTTCATATCCAAGTTCTAACACAATTGGAATGTGCCAGTGACCTTTTTCTGACTCCTGTCCACACAGAAGTCTGATACTTTATAAATACCTTGTTAACTTAAAACTAAACAATTGTATTGCTTCTTTTGTAACAAATTGACAACATTAGCAATCACACACGTGTATATATATATATATATATATATATATATATATATACATATTGATATATAATACCAAAAACTAATTTATTTACCTGCTGACCTGCATTAGCTAAATCAGCTTATAATATATAATAATGATGATGATGATGATGATGATGATGATGATGATGATAACAATAATAATAATAACTATAACAATAATAATAATAAAAAACAACAACAATAATAATATAACATAATAATTGCAAAGCACATAAATTACATTCTTTGTAAAACAGCTGAAATGAAGATTAATGAAACTTTTATCACCATCGTTTAGGTATTATTTATTTCAATCCACCGAAGAAAAACATTATGAATCCATTTATAGACAATTCAGATCGATCAGTCCATTCAGTCACTATAAGCAAAAACACACAACCTTTTATCAAAATCCACTTTCACAAAATCCACTTTCACAACCTTTTAACCCCAAACATATTATATCTAGATTCTACGACTGAAATCTAATAGCACATGTTTGGTATTAGGTGCAAAAGAATACATAAACTGCATTAGAATGCAAACCTGGATAACAATGGAACATGGGGGGGGCATTTGGAATAGTGGGCCTTTTTCAGAGAAACTGAGATGCACCTTTCATTGACAAAATAAAAAAGATCCTTCATCAGAGTGAGTATAAGCTTGCTTCACAAGAACCAGTGGAACCAACCCCTCATCAAACATTCATTGAATCTCACCTGATGTCGCTCTTTCCACTTGGGAAAAAAGTCATTTCCAAGTAATTGAAACAAATGATCTCTCATTTCATCATTTGTCACAATTAAACATTTGAACTTTATAGCTGCATATAACCAGTACCTGAAGGGTAAACCATTTCAAGATGAGTATATAAGTATGATACTGCCACACAAACGTTACTTGTCCCAAAAGAGTCATTTTCAATAAACCGAACTAATTTTATGTTGATGTTGTGGTAATCTTCCTAAATAAAGGAAAAAGTAAATAAAAGTCCTGAGAAAGTTAAATTTGACAGAAAAATAAATGAAACAACAAATAAGATGAGTAAAACTGATGAACTATACGAATTAAGTCTTCGTGAAAATAAAATATGTACCTTTGTGTAAGTAGATGTTTTTTTAGCAGATGGAGTATGGAAAAGGTTCCCAGTTCTTACCAATCATCATTTGAACCAGTAGGTGTTTCATAGAGTGCATCAGCTGTTCTCCACTTCTCTATAAGTGCCTTTTCAAATGGTTTATGCAACTTATCTCCATTAACTCTTCTATTATGCAAGATAATAAGAGGCCACTTTTTAGAAGGAAACATCTGTCGAATTCCATTTGCAACGACATTGACCTTAAATGACAATTTGTTAAGAATACTTAGTCAATAAGGGTGAAACACAAGCCATATTTTCACTGAGAGGGTTATTAATCAAATAAATAATTACCTTGGACGGTTTAAAGTTTCTTTGGTTCAAAAGTCCAACATTTGCTCCATCTATAACTGCTTCAAAAGGTCCATAGTCGTCAAGCCATTTCTGTATTACATTTTTTTTATTTTGACTCACACATATGTGAATTTGAGAACAGCAGCAACAAATATACTATTTACATTACATACTTGAAATTTCTGGAAATTTGACTTCTTTTCTCTCTGTGCAGCAATAGAAGCAACAGATTGGGCAAAATTCTCAGTTTCTTTGGGATCCAGATCAATGGTTGCCAACTGTTCACCACAACATTTACATATCCCATCAGACCGGACAGAAGTACGAGACACGGTCCATTTCCCATTTCCCAACCAGCCCATTCCATGCCACCCTCCACCTCCATTTTCAATTGCCTGCCGAACTAGATCTTGATTCCATTTTCTTTTTCCCACTCTTGAAGAACATTTGCTATGAAACCACTTCTCAATCACATGTGCGGTGGAAGGAGAAACCTGCCGAGCGTTCGTCCTAAGTTTGTGCAACACATAGTAAACCTTATCACTCCTTTCAGCTTCGACACTTGCTTTCAACAGTGCTTCTAATTCAGGCTCCTCTGGGCAAACCCCATTCTCCAACATATGTGCTTCCACCATGAATGCTTTCTCAACATCTCCGTTGTTGCAGAAACAATGAAGAGCTGGACCGTAGGAACGCAGTCTTGGGTTAATCCTGAATTCCTTCATTCGCTTCACCAGACTGAATGCCATGTCGCCGTCACACAAAGACATTGACAGTCTAGCGGCAGAAGTGAATATTGCCTCATTCATTGGAACCTTTTCAGATTGTGACAATTCAAAGATTTCAAAACCCTTGTCAAGTGCAAAGCTTTTCACATCTGGGCTTACTTGAACTATATACCCTTCCTTATGAGCCCTTTCATCTTTTTCCTCAAAAGTATCGGCACTGGTAATTATCAACTGAACCAATTCATCTAAAGTAGCAGCAGCAGAATTGTTGTCTATTACTTTTGAAGGAAACCCATAAAGGCTAAATTCATTCTCCATAGTTTTATCTAATGATACCAATGCGCCATTATCAGGTTTGCTATTTTCCATATGAGAAGAAGATGCACTTGTAGCTTCAAAACCGCCTTCACTCCCACTTTTTGCAGACAGCAGAATATCTGTAGCTGCTGGTGCTGCTGCTGCAGAAGAACAAATATACAACAGCACAGAATAGTGATACTGATCCAATTTCACTCCTTCCTTTCTTGCCATCTCATACAGCCTAATTGCACTCAACACGTCCCCTCTCTTTGAGCACATTCCTAACCCTACTCTCAACATAGCTTCCCGCGAGTGTAGTTTACGCTTCCTGGGTCTATTTCCCTTTTTCTCCATCTTCGTCTCCTTACATTTCTCGTCATTTCCCCCAGAAGAACCATTGTTGGATTTCGCACAAGGAAAGGCAGAGCTCTCTGCTTTTCTCTTTATTGGACTTGAATCGCTCCTTTCTTTTATAGTGACCCTATTCTCAATATTTGCTTCCGCGTGACTATTTGTTGGATGCTTTCTTCCAACTTTGATGACATTAGGACTGAAAGACGAAAACCCAGAACGATTTTCGCTGTGATTGACGCTACCACTTGGAATTTCTTGGTATGTTTCTTCAAGCGCGAGTTTGACCGAAGGGGAATATGAGGAGCACGTCTTCAAATGGTTCAGTGGAGATGTGTGCTTACAGTAAGATAAGGGACAGGCAGGAAGCTGAGCTTGTTGCGTAAATCTGAGGATGAAGGAGGCCATGCGTGGCCGCCGGACGCCATCCAAAACACTACCCCGTCTATATAAACGTCTATATAAAGGGCGTGGATTTGATTCTTAAAAGTGAGAAGTAATTGTGGTGCTTATTCTGAAAACTTATTCTACTTCTGCTTTTAAAAAAAAAACATAATCAGAATCAGTTCCAAACACCCTCATAAATGAGAAAAGTGTACTAAAGTGTCGAATCAGTATATTAAATTGTATGGGAGAGAGTACATTATATTACAATTTCAGTTTTACTACACAGTCTCGGAAATATGTTGTTCATTCGGTACAAATTTAAAGTTAGGCATTAATATGTTTGACTTGACTTGTACATACTCCCTCCGTTTCACAATCTTCGACACAGTTTGACTTGTCAAAATTAAGGAAAAAATGTTACTGAGGGGTAATTTTTACTGTAAAGTGCACTCTTTGGCACTGTTTGAACACCGTTTGAACACTGTTTGGCACTGTTTGACACTGTTTTGCACTGTTTTCGTAAATATTTATTTACCAAATAAGGAAATAAGGAAGTGTGTCATTGATTGTGAAACAGCCAAAAAAGGAAAGTGTGTCAAAGATTGTGAAACGGAGGGAGTATGTTTGATGTGGTTAAGGAAGTACTCATATAGCAAAATTAAAGCTACATCATCTCCTTGCTACACATTATTAGTTTCCAAGCCCTAATAATTTTTCTCCAATCTGATTGTGAATTGCGAAAGAGGAGTGTCGGCCATCTTTCACCGCCCGAAGCCGTCAAACCTTGGAATCTTTGGAAATTTGGTGGTAAAGTGAAGTTGCGGGGGCTAAGCCTGGTGCTCTTAATCCCCTACGAATATGGAGATTTAATTGAGTTGCAGAGTAGGGAGTACATTCATTGCTTGTCAACTTGCCCACAATTTTATATGGGACGAAAAGGGGGAGATTGTGTTGTTGAGATGAAGCGAGGATACTGAAAAGGGATAATTGCATATTTAAATGTCAAAGAAAGATTGTTGGGTATCTAAAGGGGTACATTTTACCTATTTTTTAGAAAGAAATACTCAATTGCTATGGAACAAGTTCACCCTAAGCATTCACAGGGACCAGAGCACTCTTGAGAGGATGCGAAATTTGCCATTGTTAAATTTTGCTACAATGTGAATTTTGGCAGGAGACCAGTTGTTGTTGTGTGAATTTTGCAATTGTTGGATGTATGTGTTTGCGGTGAACAAGAATATCAGGGAGGAGATGAGCTTGGAGGAGAAGAAAATGGAAGAGTATTGAAGAACAAAACTTTTCTCTTGATGAAATTCATAACGCTAGGGTTAGATACAAAGATAAAGGCGATAAGGATGATGCTGAGTTGGAATCCAAGAATTATCAAAGAAACAGTTTGTATACCGTGGGATCATCTCACGGTGAGCACCACGCTCCACACCCAAAACGACGTAGTTTGATCATTTTAAAAAAAAAATTGTGTGAACAGTGACGCGTGAACAATACACGTGTGAACAGTAACTGTTCTTTTCTTTTCGTCCCAGTAGCATGAATGATGTAACTCGCGTGTAAAGAAATGTAACTCAAGTTATTGATCAATGTAACTCAAGTCCAGTCGAAATGTAACTTGTCAAATACATAGTATAAGAAGTAAAACATTGATTTCAATGTAAATGATGAAAAAAGAGAGTCTAATTGCTCAATTATTTTACATAAGTAGTGTATATGAATGTTTTATTTTTAATATCAGGGCCATAAAATGATTTTCTATAAAAATAATTTTTCTTTGAATGTTAGGGGCTTATTGTGTTGTGTAACTCACATTATATTGCGGTGTAACTCGTATTATATAAAGGGGTTATTCCCTGAATATTACTAAATTAAGGCTGATTTTCAAAAATGTGACCACTTTGACATTTGTACAAAAATGTGACTAAAATATAGTGACAACCAAATATTCATATGACTGCTCCATTTTGATGTCACTGTTGCATGTCACTAATGTCTGTCACTGTTGTGGCCACCGCCACCGCCACCACTGCCGCTGATCACAGTGACACCTCCGCAGAGACATTTCCGTAGTGACACATAAATAGTGACATCCACCACCACCACCGACCAGTGACCGCCGCCATCCGAAGACCGCCACCAGCCACAATAACACTGGACATAGTAACACCAACTATAGTGACGTCGACCACAATGGGCCGGTCAGAGTGACACCATTTCCACCACCGTCCCTCGACCCCCAGTCCCTAAGCCACCCTCACCTTCCAGACCACCCCCTCCTAGCCCTTGCACATACCCACGCCTCCGGCCATAGCCTCATCCCCTGTCCCGTGCCCCTTTCCATCTCAAATCTCCACCGTTTCTCGTAGTACCAAAGTCAAAATGCCTTTTCCGGCTTCCTTTCATAATTTCCAGTACTGATGCTCATCTCCACCCCCACCATACATGGCTACGTCGCACAGTCTTAGCTGCAAATTCAATTGCGCAGTACCAATAAATAAAACTTAACCATAGTTTCGCACTTCACATCTCGTTCCAGTTAGAAACTAGAAAAGAGAAGAAGAAAATTAGAAGAGTTGCAACGGTAGACAACAAAGAACGAAGAAGAAGCAGAATTAGGCGGCGGAATCAATAGAGGTTTCGGAGGTGGAGTCATCCAATCGCCGCTGTCGGAGTGTCGCCCTTGTCTCCGGATTACGTCATCTTCAGCCGAGTGTATGGACCTGGAATGAGTGAGGCGGACCTCATAACATCAAATGAGTGCGGCGGACTTGGTAGCATCGAATGAGTGTGGAGGACCTGGTAGCATCAAATGAGGGAGGCGGTCTGGAGTTGATGTTCATAGGGGAGAGTAATGAGATGGGATGCGAGAGGGGAAGTGATGAGGCAAATGGATAAGTCATATTTTTGTCCAGATTAGAACCAGTGATATTTTTGTCCATTGAAACTCTAGTAATAATATTTGAGTCATTTTTTCTTATATAAAATGTAAATCACGTGCAAGCAGAATGTAACTTGTTGAGGAAAGTTGACATGTAACTTAAGCTAATAGATATGTAACTTGAGATAAATGGAAATGTAAATCGTTTTAATTAAAATGTAACTTTTCTTACGTAAATAAAAATGTAACTACAAAGAACTAAATTGGCGTTTCAAGAGATCCATGGGAAACCCAATCCCAGCTTTGGTCTAAGTTCAGAAGCTCATTCCCTGCCAGGCCCCTTACCGACGTACATCAGGGATGACGTTGTCGTGATTCCGAGGCCGGCCGGTGGGTTCTCTGCTCTCAGCTTCGACTGGAGTTGGTTAGGATGCTAGCGCTAGCTTTCATCTGCAGCCAAATCTCCAACAAAAATGGATGTTCAAGCGTGATGTCCTGCCTCTCTACTTATCATTGATCGATTCAATGGAAAGTGATTCTCAGGTTGTATATTTGGGAATGAGAGTCGCAGACGACGTACTCAACATGGGGGGTGAGGTTGTTTAGGGATTTGATAGAGAGACCTCTGACCGAAATGAAATCATAGCAATCCGATTGAGCAATAAGTTTGTTGCGGATGACAAGGATGGAAGGAATAGGCTCCGATGATGAGCCTGAGATTTTCCAGGGGAGGAGCTCTGAGAATTGGTCGTCGCCATTCAAGTCGGAAGAGGTGATGATTTTTATTAATTACGGCATCGTTTTTGGATCGGCACATCGTGCGCGCGGTGGGCCGATCCCACAGTATAATTTGTGTCAAAGAAATGCTAATTAATTGCCACATTAACTGTTTTTAACGTTAAACTCAAACTTGTACTGAATTAACACTAAAATCTCAAATTTATGTACCTGTAAATCTCAGTTACAATATAATGTACTCTTTGCTCTATTGTGTACAATTTAATGTACTCATTTGACACTTTTCTCATAAATAAACTGACGAATTATTTATGAAAGAACGGAGGATATACTACCTACAAGTTTGATTTGAGGTGGACAAAAAAGGGATCACACCTCTCTTTAGACAAAAAGGGACTTAAATCCAATTAATGACTAAAATACCCTTATAAGAAAAATTACTCCCGTTCAGTCTCCCAGCTAGCATTTGGCCGACTTCTGCATCCTCGGATCGAGGTCTCTGCCTTGCTTTAGCAGCAAGGTAAGGTGTCTGGCCGAAGGAGACCGTCTGACCGAGATTTCAACGGTCGGAGATTATTGGGGTTTACTTTTTCGCGTATCTTAAGGTCCCTTTCTTCCTATCGAACTCTCCGTTGTCCAAGGCACTCTGCCTGTCGGGCAGAGGATCTCAATCCGAGCATCCTCCCCTTCTCTTATTCCTATTCTATCGCGTGAAGAAGACTCCCTTCGAGTGTCCCAGCATCGCCGCCCAGCGTATTCCGCCACATGTCCCAACATCATTCCCAGCGCACGCCGCCTCCATTCTCTGTCGTGCGCTACCTCCTTCCTCCATTGTACGTCGTCGCCATCTACCTCGTCTTTTCTTCTTTTGTCCGATCTGACGGCAGCGGTTGCGCTTGGTGAGGATATAGGAAGGGAAGCAGTGATTATGGTTTATTAGCGGCGGTGCAACGACCGAGGTAGGTGATTAAGGCAGATGGTAGGCTGGGCAACCGGAGTGGGGGAGCGATGAGGCTGGGAGTAGCGTAACAGTGGTGGTGCACAGATTGGGAAGGTGGATTGGGTAGGGGGTGGGCGTAGAGGGGGAAGCTGCCGAGGGAGGCTAGGGCGCTGGGGGAGGCAGGCGAGGGGTGGGATGACTTGCAGTCGGAGATGTGTGGTGGCGGGTTGCTATTGGTGGTAGCCGTCAGTGGCGGTAGTGCTACCGTCAGTAGCTTTTGTGGTCGTCGGTGGTGATAGCGGTGGTCACTATCGAATTTGGTATATTGGATTGGGTAACTATAACGTGTCGAGTGTAATTGATTGGTCGGGTAACTGTAACTGGTTGAATCAGGTGATTTTAATTGGTCGGGTATCTGTAATTGACGGATCGGGTAATTGTAACTAATCGAGTAACTGTAATTGGTCGGGTCAGGTAGCAGTAACTGGT